ATGTTTATACTAAATGGTATTATATTTGAGAAGCTCTTTTCCTCACTTCATGGAGAGGAAATTAAAACCCAATCCAGTTTTGAAGGATTTGGTTAATAATAAATTTAAGAAAATTCCAATCACTTACCAATTATTACTTGGTTTGTTGGATCCTGAACAACTGGTGAAGGTTGTGGAGGTTCATCAATATGTACTACTGCAGGTTGAATGAATGGAGATTCCGCACCATCTTGATCCTCTTGAGATCCTCTTAGTTGCAATGGATTGCATCTACATGGTAATGTTAGATTGCAAGTATAACATCTGCGCTTTCTCCTTGTGTATCTCCACCAAACAATTATTAAAACGATGATTATAAAGGCAACAGCAATAAAAATTGCCAAATAAGTTTCTGTTTTGCTGTCTTTTTTTTCATTCTTTGAATCATCAGGACCACTGGGTGTATGAGTTGGATCACTAGTTGTGCTGACTGAGTGAATGGCTGATGTACTAGTAGAAGTCTTAAGCTTTGAGGAGTTTGTTGGCCTAAAGGCTGTCTTTGTAATGATAGCAACAGGATCTRGTGTACACTCTCTTTTTCTGTGAACAGTGCAGCTTTGATGACGAGGCATACTTTTATTTGTACACTCATCCTCAACAACATCTTTCTTATCATTGCAACACCATGAGCACTTCTGGCAGTCGCCASWACTTTTTTCAAAGTAGTTTYCTTTACTCTTACACTTTGGATGGCATATTGTTTTACTATCTGGTGTGCATGGTGTTGAGACCTGGTCATCAGAGCAGCTACCACATGGAAGACATTGTTCATGGTCATTTGTCATTGAATAATTCACTCCTTTCATGCATGGCTGACACCATAYTTTCGTGTCYACTGCTATGGATTTGCCACATTGAGGTTGTAATCCATAACCAGCTGGGCATTTTGGGCAATCAATGCAAATACTTGCTCCACTGGTCAAGATTTTCTTATACTGATTAACTGTGCAGCCTTGTACATTTGATAACTAAAATAGAAACAAAATCTGATAAATTTTAGGTTTGGTAAAAATCCTGATCGAGGTATGATAGACAAGATAAGAGTGTACTCAGAATTAGACTTATGTTGGGTTTGAGTTGCCTTGAAATTTTATTAATACACTTCTGTATCTTCTATATCTCTAGGTATATTATGAAAGAAGCCCAATTTATGATAATAAATAATATTATGAATGAAGCCTGAAATTTTTTTGGGTGATCCAKTTATTAACAATTGCTTAGATTATYATAAYTTCAGTGCGAAGATCGTTATTTCACTACACACCACATATTTGGTATTCCTAATTATTCCTAATTTTAATTCTAATTTTTATTCCTAATTATGGATGGGTTCATGCACCTAATGAAATGACTGCTTACCAACATGTTTGACTTCATAGCTCAGTTGGTAGAGCACTGCGCAGACATTGCGGAGGTCATAGGTTTRATTCACATTGCAGCCCGTAATGTTTTTGGGCTAATCACTTAGATTATTATAATTTTAATAGCTACGGCAATCATTATTCTCTACACATCATGAATCTCATTAACTATTTGTATTTGCACTACGCTTTTGTAAATTTTGTGTGCTGATTGGCGCATAAGAGTGTGTCATTAAGAGGACATGCACACTGTGTACTGACACCACCATGTCTCGTGTGCTCAGTTAAAAGAAAATGATTTTCACTAACTTTYAGACTTAAAATATGTTAATAAACTCGCTGTGCTTGTGGTTACCTTGAGTTTTGAACATTTTATGATGTCAAGTCAACAAAATTATGAACAATTTCAATTCTTAAATGTACATATCTCAACCACAACCTTTTTTCGCAATTAACTGTATGTTTAAGTGCTAGGTATAATACATGAAAGTCACAATGGCTCAGMTAAAAATAGAAAAAATCTAATTTGGGATATTTTTGTTACGATGAACATTTTGACCCAGACCACTATTAGGAACTTTGGCAGTCATCGATGACAACTAATAGCTAGTCCTAAAATGCTATTTGCTTGTAAGTTGCGTTCCTTAACTAAAGTGAGTCATACTCACTTTCAGCACTCGCTCGGATCTACTGAAATAAGCTATTAAGCTTAAAGCTTATAAAGTAAAAGTAAGCTTGAGCTCAAGTTGAAATGTGTTCGATAATTTAAATAAGCTTAAACTGATTTGATAACTTTTAGGAGGCCGGGATACCAAAAAAAAACTTAAGTTACGAGTTAAAAAAGTGAAAATTAAATWAAATTAATCTTGTTACCTCAAGAAGTGCTGAAATTATCACAGCAAAAGCTAAACACCCCTTCAGGGACGATGATAGACTCCAAGATGTCATCTTTGCGGCAATCAAAAACCGTAGTACATGCAAGCTTAAAGCTTAAACGACGAAATATTCAAGCAGTACAGAAAAATTTCAATTAAACCTCGAAAAAATCACAGTTAAATCGGCGAAACTTTCGATTTAAGTACAAAATGTCCAGGCATCGTTTATTGCGAAGTCCAAAGAGACCAAACAAGTGTACTTGAGAATGAGTATTAACCAGTGGCCCGGCTAATGACGTAATGTACGTAAATAGTTATTGCCTGTGATTGGTTGTCTCAAAATCATATCGCTCTTTGACAAGTCAAAGGCAACCCAAGCTAAGCAATTTGACTAGTAGATTTAGAGATATCTATAATGCATGTAAATATAAACTTTTTGAAAGAAAAAATTAGTAAAACACTTTTGTCTTACCTTTTGATGTGGTACAAAAGCTTTTTACTAATTTTTTCTTTCAAAAACCCATATTTACTCGCAATATAGAGATCGCTAAAATATCTGCTAGTCAAATGCTTAGCTTGGGTTACCTGTGGACAAGTGAGGTTTCAACAACTAATAGACTTCTGAACCTTTTACGTCACTAATTGATTTTCAATGCATTGTGGGATCAGTTTCAAGAGAAAACAAAAGAAATCCGSAATGTTCTTTCCCAAATATATCCTAMAATGCATTGCGTATGTCGGTACATGACGTAAAAGCTTCAGAGGTCTATAACCAATATTAGTATTACCATACTAGTGGACTATTGCAAATCCTTCGCTCTGATTGGCTACGCTACTCGGGGTCTATTTTCAATAGTCCTTTATCAATAAACACATTTAGTTATTTATATATTTCATTCATTTTTTGTCCAACTACGTAGTATGGTAATGCTAAAACAATTAGATCTCTCAGCCTCATGGATTACGAGCTGATAGCCCATTCGGCTTTCAGCCTCATATATGGGCKATCACTGCATGCTTGTAGTCCACTCGCCCTCGAGATTGCTAAATAGACAAATGCAGTAAAGTTTTATCACTATCCAGGTTTATTATCAAAAAAGAAAAAAATAGACAATCATAGATCACTGATGATCACTTAAATTACATGTCATGGAATTCACGTGAATTAAAAATCTCTATAGTGGGTTTTACAATATCATCAGAATACAAGCAAATCATTCTTCCACAGGAAGCMCATGTAAATAGTAAAGTTAACCCCAATGTAGGTGATGCAAAAACACATATAAGCCTGGTTCACACAGTATAAACATTAGAACAGATATCAACATAAGTTGAGAACAAGAAAAAAAAACATAGGGGCTCAGTCATTTATGTGATATAATCGATAAAATCAAGAATGGTTTATAAATATGCTATATACTAATTAAGACAATTAAAAGAACAAAAGTAGAATAACACCGTTTTCATCCTTTTGAACTGCTACATAATTGTATCAACCAGGCTTTTAAAAGTGTAAAACCTTATATTTTTGTGTTTTTTTTGTTAATTTTTATCGAAATATGATAAAAATATTTTTWAACTATTTTATAACTATATTTCATATATGAAAATATTGCACTCTGCAATATTTCTACAATAGAGAACAAGAAAAAAAAAATGTAACAGTTAATGTACTATAAACAGTGAAATCTGAGACATGTGGCCTAGAACCAAACCTGACTTACAACCTAAAGCCATCYGTGAAAACATTAGATGTCCCTAAATTGGCAAAATTTTGTTAACAAACTTAATTTGTATAGTTTACAACATGAGTGGCAGTGTTGTATGGGAATTGCTTTCAGCTCGCTGTTTTAAATCCTCATACAGATTGCCCGCTCATATTGTATATATTACTTACAGAATGCAATATTCTATACAAAAAAAGGATTTGCACATAATAATATCACAATAACAAACGAAAAAATCAATATAAATTACAAAAATCCAACATTTTACAACAGCAATAAAATAAAACATATAATCACTCAAATGTTCAATATATTATTATGGAACTGATTGAACTACAATATTTTAATCAGTTATCTATTTTAATCAGTTATTTTTTTTATTTTTTATTACAAAAATGTTGTCATAGAGACATTTTTTGTATTTAGTCAAAAAAAAAACAACAACAAAGCTTGATTGATCTTCTTTCAATTTTTCTCATTTATTTTTTCATTTTTTTTCTGACAACATTTTTGCAAATAGATATGATTACACATAGATCTACAATCAAATTTCCAGCCAAATTCCTGGCTTGRTCAGGACATGAAATTTTACAATCTTGTAAAATGTGTTTTGATGTTTTGTGTCTTGATGTTGTGTTTTGGACAAGCCTACATGTCCTGATTTGATTTATAATATCTCAATAAACAGATTACAGAATGAAAAATCACAGATATCACTCACAGAAAAGAATTCACACCCTTGATTTCCACCCAAATATTTTTTTGTGTCAATTTTAAACCATCTAAGATATAAGTTACTATACTGACATTCCTTTTTCTTCCTTTTTTGTGTGTTTTGTTTTTAGTTGTTGTGTTTTGCTTTGTGTGTTTTCTAGAAAACAACACTTTGATATTCATAAAACTTCTAATTGAGTCTGATTTTTACAAATGCTAAAAACTGCTTTTGAATCTGTTGAATTTGTTGAAAATGATATGGCTGCCAATGCCCCATACCAATATCAAAATTTTTATGATGGCATTTCAAATGGCAGGAATGCCCCATGTTTTCTTCAAAAATCTTTTTTCACAATATGAAAGATTGTTCTAAAATCACTTGAGTTATTAGAACTATATGAACATATCACATATGCACCTAAAAATATAAACAAAGTATAAACATTCTACGACATGTACTCAAATCTTTGCAACATCAAATTTCGGTCCATAAGAAGTTACAAAACTGAAAATTTCAGATCTTACTCATTCTAATAAAGTGCTCTTTCAACTTACTGGAAGCAAAGAGAAACCCTAGTTTAGATCACACTTAAATTAGAGTTTATATTATATTATAAGCAACTGGTTAGTTATATTAAATGGATTCTTGATTTCTGGGGAAAACAATCGTGAAATTATGTGACAAAAATATTACTTAATAAAAACAAATAATATCTTAAAGACATTTTACACCATTAAATAGCATTAGACTTTATYGCAATAAATTAGTGCATTTTCTGCAAGCATTTAACTTTCATATAGCATGCTGTTGTCATGTATATAAATATATACTTAAATTCCAGTTGTGTTGATTTATCCACCAGATAAAATCATACTCTGTCTTAATAGATTTTGTGGAAATTCTAACTTATTCACTGGATATCCACTTGACAATGTTAATTCCCTTTCGTCCAACCAGCTACGGTTATTTATTAATTGTTATATAATCAATATATCTTTAGCTTTCTAAATATTACTGCAAGAGTTAATTAATCTGATTTACTTTACAATTATTGCATATTAAGATATTATTTCTGTAACATGATTATTCCGGTTATCATCTAATAGCACATTATTAATATCATCATAATCACCTGATTTTATGTCAGCAAGTCACAGGCCCTGCAGGACTTAATCCAATAGATCAGCCTAGGTTTTTAACACCACTAATATACCTTATTGTTTGTAATTATTATCTTTTATAAAAATTAAATTCATTTAGTACAGACACTAGGTTTAATCCTTCCTAAAATATAACTTGGAAATCCCAATTTTGTCACTGAAACAGTAGAAACCCGCATATAAGAACAGTCTACATTTTAGAGAAGTAGCCTAAACAGGTTATTTTATAAATGGTAATTAACACAATTTTAAGGCTACTTAAAGCAAATATGACTTCGCTTCAAAACAAGATGGTTATTTGCCTATGTCCTGTTTCTTGACCCCCACCCCCACCCCCACCAAAAATCATTCATAAAAACTCATTTTTACAGTAATGAGAATCTGCTTTTCCTTCAAATGTGAATCTTGCTCTGCAGCTGTATTATGACTAAATGAACCTTTTTTCAAATTAAAGCCTGTGTTACATCCGGAATTTCTGTCTAATTACACAGAAATTCCGGATATAACACAGGATGCCAAATTAAGGCTAAATAGGTTGTTGTTTATATAGGGTGTTTAAAACCCATATTTAAGGCTAGCAGGTTCTTAATTTTCAGGTTCTTATATGCAGGTTTCTACTGTATCATACCCAATAATCACTTTTGAATGCATTCATTTTTTCTGTTCAACTATAAACACCAACTATTATCAAAAAGTGCTTTTAAAAAATGATTAAAAATGCTATTTTGTCGTCATCAACTACATGCTTGATTTATGACAAACACATACACTTTCAGAGAATGATAATCTCATCTTCTTGCAACGTTAAACCTGTGATGTGGCAACTTGCAATGCAATGGCCTGTGATGGGTTATCCTGAGATGTGGCTGCTTGAGATGTGGTGGCCTGCAATGTGCTTGCTTGAGATGTGGCTGCTTGAGATGTGGTTGCCTGAGATAAAGAGTCTTGTGGTGTGGGAGCCTGTGATGTAGTGTTGGTATAATCATATAGTGCTCTTTTCAATACTTTTGAGACATCTTTTCTGTGAATGGCATCAGTGCACTTTATAAAGTCTGAAACTGTTAGGTTGGGATCGTAACTGCACTCCACGTATTCTAGAACAACTTCAGTTGGGTGATTCCCTGGCCTTTCAATCAACAATTTGATCTCATCCTCATCCATATTGAATTGCCTAGCGACTTTAGCAAATGACTTCTGAGTATCAAGCATGGTACAAATTTTCTCTTTAACACGCCTTATATCTCCCTTTTTGAACCAATCAAAAATTGGAGTATCTGCACCTAAAAGATGTGAACAAATTAAAATTAATATTCATTATATTGTTAATATGAAATCAAATTTTAAAATATTGTAACAATTAAAATGTTAGAAACGATAAAGAGAGAAAACACACGGTGTTTTGGTTTTTGTAATTGCGACGTTTCGGTGTCGTCATGACGCCATTATCAAGCAAGTGAAGATAAATAGATATTACAAACAGAATAAGTGCTAACAGAATAAATTTACATGCCAAGTGCTATTGGGAATAAAGTGAGATATTAACAACAATAACTAGCTAGGTAAATACTTTAGCTTTTATAGAGTCGCTCTGAACATTAATTGAAGGTCTTTTCTCTTTAATATAGAGCATTTCAAAAACAAGGCAATCAAACTTCGTTTGGCATTTCCTTAAGATCTTGAAAAAGACGTTAATGTCATCCGGTAAAGATTGGTGTTTGCATATAAAGTGTTTCTTTATACTTGAGGAGTCATTGCGATGTTCATCACAGCATTCGTGTAGATGTCTGAGGGTATACCCCACATAGCTCTCATCACAAAAGCCACATTTGAATTCGTACACAACACGTTGCCTGTTGACTAAAGTTGGTTTCTTTTCGCAGTATTTCAATTCGTCTCCAAGTTTAC